GAAGGAAGGAAGGAAGGAAGGAAGGAAGGAAGGAAGGAAGGAAGGAAGGAAGGAAGGAAGGAAGGAAGGAAGGAAGGAAGGAAGGAAGGAAGGAAGGAGAGGAAAGGCAAGGCAGGAGGGAGGGAAGCCCTTGCACCTGCTGAGAACTCAGGTACCTAAGGGGCAGCACTAGGCACGCACCATAAAATGCACTTAAACACTTTTCCAATGCCAGGACACCGGATGCTGAGCTATACACACTGCAAGCAAGGAGAAAGAAAAAAAAAAAAGAGGTCCTTTTTTTTCTTTTAATTATTTTTTTGTTTATTTTTTGCCATGCAGCCTGCAGCCGCCTCCTCTTGGAGGGTGTTGGTGGCAGCAGGGTGTGTGCCCAGCACCCCTGGCTCCGGTGGTTGTGTTAAATTGTGCCCCAAAACTATTTAAATGCCATCAGACCGAATAAACTGAGGAAAGATTCACACTTAACTCATTAAAAGGAGATCTCATGGCCCTTTTTTCTTAGGCTAAGTTGTAGTATTAGCAGGTTTCTCAACTACCAGGTATTTATCCAACAAAGGGCAAATAAAGCGCTTACATCTTAGCCATGACACTTCAAGGACAGCACTTGCACCAGAGCTGCTCCTGCAGCTTCTCCAGTGCATCATCCTGAAGGTACCATCTCCTTTCCTTAGGCCCACTCACCACAAACCCTATATGCCATAAACCCTAAGAACCTATAGTCCTGTTGTAATGTCCCCTGAGGAAAAAACACACATCAGTGCGGGGAGTCGCTCTGCAGCGCGCGGGCGGCGCTCGCTTTGGAAATGCAACGAGGGCGGCAGCGTCTGCGCGCGGGGTGCGACCTGGTGTCCCCGGGGGAGAAGACAAAAGGGTGCAGGCAGATTTTCCTCCCGGCAGCCTGTGGTTCCCATGAGAAAACTCAATTGTGCATTGCCCAGCAAAACCACAAAAATGCTCGCAGCGCCGCCTTCTCTCCTCCCACTCAAAATGTTTTTGCATACACCCTCCGGCACTACAATCATGGTAATTAAAGCTGTAAAATATTATTAGGTTCACACGTCAATAGGCTTTTCCTCCAGAAGACTTTGGATACTGTGCACACAGCCACTTCTGGGGAGAAAAGTGACAGCACATAGCCAGAGCGGAGCAAAGTCCTTGCTGGGCGTGTTGGAGCAACCTCCTTTCCCTGCAAGATGGTGTTTTGCAGCTCCTTCTTATCATTGCTTTTCCCGCACACGGGAAGGCTGTGAGGGAAAGAGTTCTTTTAAGGTGATGCTTGTTTTTGTACTCTCACACTATGGTTTCAAGATGTTTCTACTATACTGTGTGGTTAGGTAACGCTCACAACGGCCATGGAAGAAGGGGATGCAGTGACGCAGGTAGGTGAAGCTCTGTCGGGAGGTAAAGCGCAGGCTGCACGGGGGGACAAGAGCAGATCTGCTGCCAGGTCCCTGTCGCGAAGCTCCCAGGGAGCCGCACATGGGGCTCTCTGCAGCCGCTCATCCTTCCCTCCCGGCGGAGCGCACGGCTCCGACGGCACCGTGCGACTCTTAGGCATCCCTTCCCATTAAACAGCAGATTAAGGCATAGGGGCGCTTATAGAATACACGAAAGAAGCAGGCAGATGATGGGTCCTTTATTTTCTCAGACTGCCCATATTGTGGGATAGCTGAGGAGGCTGAACAGGCGAGCGGTGCCACAGAACGGAGGGAATAGGTCTGTGGCGAGCAGTTATACCCAAAGGAGGCAGGTTGGGCCCAGAGGCAGCTCCATGGCTGCCAACATAGCAGCTGCATCCGTTCCCCGTGGCGCCGCGCGCAGAACGTCTCCGTCGTCGGTCCCGGCATCTCCGAGTGCCACCAGCCGTGCTGCGAGGAGGAGGAGGAGGAGGAGGAAGCGTGGGGAGCTCGTGCCGCCTCTGCCCGTCACGGCAGGCTGCTTCCCTCCGGTAGGCCGCAGCTGCTGGCTGCATCCCCACACACGGAGACACAGCCGAAAACGCGCCTTGGAACACATGTTTCTGCAGGAGGCTATCGACACGTGTGAAGAAAACACTCCAAACGTTGGATGCTTAATGGAAGAGATGAAAATTGCATTGCATAATCACTTATTGTATTAGCTGTCCTTGGGGAGGCGGCAGGGCCCGGTGGCTGGAATGTACAACTGGGGCCGGAGACAGTTGCACTCTCCACCTAGGGTGGCTTCAGACAAGCTCCCTTACCTTCCAGTAGCTCAGTCTCCCCACCTGGAAATTGGGGCGATGATCTGGCTTCCTTAGTGGAGCAATTTTAGATGTAC